TCAGCGTACAACGTTGACATGCGTTCAGTTCCTGAAAAGTCTTTCTAAAAAAGTCTCCTCAGGAGCAGTTTTGCCACCACCTGGGAGGATCTCAAAAATCCACATTTAAGGAGCTGGAAGGGGGTGTGGGGGGGGCAGGCATGTGAAGTCCTGGGCTTGGGCCAAGAACTTCTGCTGCTGATAAAGAAAGGCAAGAGCCTCTTGGCGAGCAGGCCAACAGATTGCTAACTCGAGACGGCACCCCCCTCCCCGGGGCCCACCCCCAGACGCATAATGTCCGGGCAGGCCTCTCCCTAGCTGCACACCCGGCTGGGGCACCTCCACTTAATGCGGCAGACGCCTTTCCCAGACGGCGGCCCAGAGGTCCCACTGGCAATAGGACCCTACCAGTTGTAGTCTCTGGGTAGTGACAGCTGGGAGTTTCTAATATATCTAATTTTTTTTTCTTCTCTCACACACACACACAAAAAGCACAAAAACCACTGTTTAGGGCCAAGCCTGGTTTTCAAGAGCCCCCTCTAGTGGAGATAACCTGCTACTTCAGCTTCCCACTGCAGCCCAGATGGAGCCTCCCCTTGCCTGGGAAGACGGAGCAGAGCTCCCTTCTGCCTAGACTGTTCTTTCCCACTTGTTTTCTGTGTTTGCTCTCAGCTCTTTGTGCCCCGTTCACACTGTCAGCCTCTCTGTCCTCATCTTCCTTCCCTGTCACCCCGCTTTTCTGTGTGTCTGCGACTGTTCCTACATCTGGACTCGGGCTTTCCATGTGTGTCTTTGCCATGCATCTTGTCGGTCTGCATGCTTGGTTCATCGGCTGGCTTTTTTTTTTTTTTTTCCTTCTGAAGTTCAAGACGCCAGGTCTGATGAACTGGAAATGCTCTGACATGGCCTTGGATCAAATGACCCACTCTCAGAGAGCCCGAACAGGGCCCCGCCAGCCAGATCACAGAAGCACCAGGACAATCCAGTGTTCCTGGAGCAGAAGGAAACTTGCACAGAAACTCTCCCCTACTCCATGCCCCAAGCAAACCTGGGCCCTGTGGGTTGATACATATGTTTGGAACATTGTTGAACCTGAGCTTGGCGCTCCGGCTTTGGGGTCTTGCGAGGAACCAGCCTGCTCCCCTCTATCACTTCTCCCCACCAGCCCCCCTACTTCCTGGTCGCTGAGAGGCATGCTGCCATGAAACAGTAGGCAATGCCTGGGTGAAGGGACAGGGGGTGGGAAGAGGGTGCCCCTGCCAGGGAAGGGGAGGGAGGGTGGGTGGGGGCCAGGACTGAGCATCTGGCTGGAGCAAGGAGGGGAGACAGCGCACATGATCTGCTGAGCCAGAGGGGGCTGCAGGGAACACCTGCTGGGCTTCTGGGTTTCTGAGACCCATCTTTTCCCCCAAGCGGGAGACCTGGCCAAGGCAGGGCTGGGGGTTAATGCTTAACCAACTGTAGGAGCCGGGAACTTCTGCACAGCTCAGGCCTAAGCTTTCTCTTTCAGCTCTCACCCTCCCCTCCTCCTCTTCTTTTACACTCTTGCCCGGTAGGGACCCTGCTCCCCGACAAAGAACTTTCTCGCCTCTATTTCTGCCCTCGAATTCCAGATGGAACAGTGTGGAGCTAGATAAAGAGCTTCCATATGCCCCAGTGCCAGGGAGTGGGGCCCCAGGGAGCCCGAGGGCTAAGCCGAGGAGAAAAGGGGTGTCCCGTTTTTACCATCCGTCCCTCCCAGGGCGCCTTGGGACCAGCCGTTTGACCCCGCGGAGAACTGCCTTTCTCTGTCTCTGCAGGGCTCACCTTTAGAAATGACCAAAAAAGAAGTGGACGCACACCCAGCCTTCATTTACTCTAATCAGGCATGAAATCTTTGTAACTAAGTGAAAAAACTGTTTCCCATAAGGGAATCCGTTCCATTCATCATTGTTGGAGCTGAGCATATGTGGAGGGGAGGAAGAGATATTATATTCACTTATAATGAACTGATAACAGACTGCCCCTGGGTGAGGGTGGTGGCGATGGGGCTGGGGGTGCAGATGAGCCGTAAAACGACAGCACCTCGAAGCCTGTTTCCACCAGTTTCTCTGTGGACAGTCCTGAATTATTTGTAGTTAACAGACTGTAACACAATGCTCCGGGCTCTTTACGATCAAGAAGGGGGTGGGGGGGGTAGGGGCTTTGGCTGGGCTTGGAGCTCCTTACCTCTCCATTTGCCACGATGGACAGAAGTATATGGGGCCCCAGTCTGTGTGTGTGAAGACAGCTGTGTGGCAATGCGGAGAGACAGCTGGGGGGTTGTGGGGGGGCTGTTGCTGCTGGGGACAGGAACCGCCTCGCCCCACAACAAACCTCGTATCTTGGGGCGGCAGCTGCAGGAAAGGAGGCAGGATAGAGACTATAAACCCCCAAACAGTGAGAACTCAGCACTGTAAATATTCCACAGCACCTGAACAGGTGCGTTTCCACTGCTGCCGGCTGCTGCCTTGTATATTTAACAGTGGCCCTCCTTGCCCCTCCTGCACCTGTGCTTTCCGGTATCTTACCCATGAAATAAAGATTAACAGAATCATCGGAAGTATTCACAAATGGGAAAGGGGCCTAGTGGAGAAGTAGCTGTTCTTGGAGGGTTTTCTTGTTCACCTCATTTTAAGCACAGACTCCAGCATACCAGATGGGGTACTTACACATTTACTACACCTGCAACTTTTGATGGTCAAGCATGTTGGGGTGGGTGGATGCTCCCCAGCTCTTTGGGGACAGGGATAGGTACTCAGGCCAGCTCTGAAAGGTCTGACCTTATAACGACATGGTTTCTTTTGGGGGATGGATGTGCAACACCACCGTTTGCTCTTCATTTGGACTTGGATTGAAAGACCAACCAGCCCCTCTGCCCTGCTCCAGACTGTGGGGTACCCCAATCCTCCTGTTCTGTTAAAGAGAAGGGCCAGTGGGGGGGATTCTCCTGCCAGACTCATGACCCCTGGGCAGAGGAGACCTTCTGCTACTTTACTTTACCCCTTTGGATCCTGCTGATCCTTAGCAGCATCCCCACTGCACATCACTCCAAATGTCATTTCCATTTAACTGCTTTGCAAGCCAATTTGCCCCATTCTAATGCAATTTGCTGAGGACAGTGAGGGAGCAGAGGGCAGCCTGCATTGCTCTCCCTTTATCAGCGGGTCCCTGAAGAGGGAAAGGCTCTTTCAGGTAACGCAGGGAGGGCAAGTTCTGGGATGAGGAAGGGTCGGGCAAAGGGCAGAAATACCAGGTGGAAGAATGGAAAAGAAAAACAACCTCACTAGGCTATCTTGACAGATCTTTCTCAGTTTCCTAGGTTCCCTACCCTCTCCCATCACTCTACACCGGCCCCCCATCACCACCCCCTAGGCCAAGGAGGACAGCTCACAGGTAATTATTTCAAATGGTGCTGTGTGAGGTGAGGGGGAAGTTAATGAATTCTCCTCTCTTGCAGGGAGGTCAGAGGAGAGAGGGCTGCTAGCAACTCCAGGAGCTTTCTGGGGTGACTGCACAAAACTTGTGCATTTCAATTAGGAATAGCAGAATTCCTCTGGCCAGAGCCATCTCTTCTGGGGCTCTGTCGCTCTGTTGAAGGCCCCAGAATCCAAAGCCTGCCCAGAAGGAAGAATGAAGTTTCAAGGTCTGGGAAAGAAGCCCAGCAAGACAGGAGCCTGCTTCTGTGTTGGGGAGGCAAGGGCTGAACTTGACTCCTCATCTTAAAATGACCAGCCCAGCCCAGATACCCATCTTAACTGCTCACAAACCTTGTCCACTGTGCTTGTGAATAGCAGGACGGGAATGAATGGATCCCCACATCTGTGTGGGTTCCTCTGAGCTGCTAGAGCCCCAGACCACTGCCACAAGCTACAGCTGGTACACACCCCCCCCCAAACTGGTCCGGTCCCTATGTCCCTTTCATAGACACTTCTGGTACGCAACTGTCACCCTAGGATCTTACATTCCTGCAGGAGACCTGATCGGATTCCACTGCCCATTTCATGGGGCTCTCATTCCTAGACTCTTAACGGACCTAGCACTCCAAGTCTTTTACTCACCTCACCCCCCATCATCTCTCACTCAGAGCTGAGTTTGAGCAAGCAGCTCCTCCTAGGGCAAGGGTCATGCCAAACAGGTGGACATTTGTCACGGACCTGGAATGGCAGTTTCTGGTGACTCTCTCTTTGCTCATCCAGACCAGGATTAATATTTACAGAGACTACCTGTGGGATGGATAAAAAGAGCTAGAATGTTCTAAGATCCCTCCATCACTTGTGGGGTGGGGCAAGAAGGAACGCATGGAGGGAAATATTTTCGAATGGCTTATAAGGAGCTTTTCGGACCCTGGGCCATCTCCTACTTCAGCCCCCAACCCTCTCGTGCTGCTCAAACCAGAGGATGGTGTTGATGGGTGCTTGACCACGAGGGAGCACAGAGAGGGTCATGGAGCACTTAGCCCCACTCAGTGCCTTGGACTCGCTCCCTGAGCCTCACGGACCCCGCGCAGATGATGCATTCCCTTTCCATTCCCAAGTCCCCTGATCCAAAGGAACGACCAGCGGCCGCCAAGGACTCCGGCACCAGAGTGAACGCCCCCAAATCCAGCGCTGGCCACAGTGGCCCCGGGCTCCCTTGCTCGTGCCAGCGAGGCCCGCTTTGGGCGCCAGCTCTCGGGACAGCCCCGCCGCCTCCGTGCTCCCCAAAGCCGCAGAGTGCCAGCAGGTGCGCGGCGGAGACGCGCCGCGGAGCGCCCTCCCCGCCAGGAGCCGGCGGCCGGCCGGGAAGCCCCGGGCGGGAGGCGGCGGCTCTGAGTCCGCCCGCACCGGCGTGCACGCCGCGTTCCGGCCCGCGAAAGTGGCCGAGCCCGCGCGGGAACTCGCGCGCCGCAGCCGAGCCCCCGGGCCCGGGGCCGGGACCCCGACCAGGCGGGCGGGCGCGCGCTCGGGGACAGGGCGGAGGGCGCCGGCGACTCGGAGCGCCCGGCCCCAGGCGCCGCTTACCCAGCTCGCCGACGTCGGTCTGTCCTTCCGCTCCCGGCCCGTCCGCCTCGGCCGCCGGCTGCCGAGCGCGGCGCGCTGCCCCTCTCGCTGCCCGCAGCTCGCAATCACGGGGACGACCAAATCCACATGGAGTCCAAATTCATTAAAATCCACGTCCAGCCTCCAGCCACTTATCTGTATTCCTGAAGTGGCCCCTCGGTCTCCGGTCCGCGCGCCCCTCAGTCCCCCGTCGCCCCGCAGCAGCCCCGCCGCGCGCTGTCGCCGGCTCGCGGGGGGGAACCCGGAGGCGCCGAGGGGGCGTGTGGGGGTGGCTGGCCGTGTCTCTCCTGGGGAAGCAGCAGAGCCCCGGCTGTCTTAGGATTTTTCCAGCGCGACTTTCCGGGCTCCTCTGACATCAGCAAGCCCGGCGCTTCCTTCCCTTCTTGCTCCCCGGTTCGGTCACAGTCCCATTTCCTCCGGGAACCTGGCTTTCTAGATCTATTTCGGGGCTGGCCCGGCTCGCTCCGGCGCCCGCGCTCTCCACCGCTCCCCAGCTCGCGGGGTCTCTCTCCGGATCGCCCGCCCTCCGGGCTGACAAATTCCCAGCAACTGCGCTCGGCCACCCTCCCGCTCCAGTCTGGCGCGGACGCCGCTGCACCCGGCAGCTCCGGCTCCCGCGGTGGTGGCGGTGGCGGTGGCGGTGGCGGCGGCGGCGGCTGAGCCCACAGCGCCGGCCTCCCTATATTACCAAGCAGCTCATTATCATAGAGGCCGCGCGCGTTAACCCTCTCCCTGCCGGCCGTGCCCGCCGGCCCGGGGCCGCGCCCGCGCCCGCCGCTGGCACCGCCGCGCCCGTCAGCCCCCTGCCCCTGCCCCCGCCCCCGCCCGCCCGGACTGCCTCCTCGGCGAGCTGTCAACAAAGGAGAATCAGGTTTGGCATCGGGAGGCCGCCGGGCTGCCCGCCCTGAGCCCAGCTCAGCCCGGACCTACCGGCCACCTTAAGTGGCCAAGGGGGCTACTAAAATCTGCCAGGGCCTGGGGATTCGGGTGGAGGCCTTGTGAGCTCAGCTGGCGTAGCCCCCTTGCGAGGAGCTCAGGACGCCAGCAGAGTGGGTGAGGGCAGTGGGGATGTGCCCCCCGCCACCGCCTTAGCATCACCTGTCACCGAGCCCATCCTGCACACCTCCCTCTTCATCTTTAATTTGAGTGAGGGGTAAGTGGGGAGGAACGGGCCTTGGCTGATGAGGTTGAGAAGGGGACCTCAGAATCCGTGGGAGCAAATTTTCTCTGGTAGTGAATTTCAAAAAGCCAACAAGCTGTCAAATGAGGTTTGAAGTTGTTATTATTATTTTTATAATGCAAAGGTGAGCTTTGCTCTGAAGCTCAAGCTTCCAGCTCTATTAGGGATCCTGGGCACCTGGCAAGTGTGGGGGGACCAGAGGGGCACTTTCCATATTCAGGCCCAGGCCCAGGAAGCTTGCCTGGCAGGGCAATCAGAGGTGGGGGTAAGATAACTTATTTTAATAACCTAAGGTGAGAGGTTTCTGGATTCCAGATGGCAATGCCTCGGTGGTTTTACGACCATTGATTCCGTGCCATAGAGTCTCAGTATGTCCTCAGTGCCTGGACGCGGCTTTCCGAAAGAGGCCTGCAACCTAGACCCCAGTGAGTTCGCAGGATCTGCGTAGTCCCTGCTCGGGATTAGAGCACACGCGAGTTTACGCAACATGTTCAAGTATTCTGATAAACTCCATATACTGCCCTCTGGTGGCCACAGTCGTCAGTGGTATAAACAGGAAAAAAAAAAATCACTTCTGGGAGCCCTGGAGGGAGTCCATGAAATTCTCTGAGCAGGAGCTTAAGAAAAGGGGTGGTGGTAGTTAGAAATTTGGACTCACCGGGGGTCTTGCACAATCGTCCATTCAACACAGTGTAGGATGTGCGTGTAGGAAAATCTAGGCTTTACTTCATCCACAGAAATTAGCTAATTCTTCAGAAGTTTTTTCATCATTGTAATTAGCTGAAATTTGTCTCCCTGTGACTTTCACTGGTTATTCCTGGTGGTGTCCTGTGGAGCCACAGAGAATCCGTCTAAGATGTTTTCCCTGATCCATACCTGCTTTTCTCTTTGAACTACTTTAGCATTTATTGTTGGCATCCCTCCAGGCAATTATCATAAGTTACCCCATATTATTATTTATTTCTCTTTATAAGTACGTCTTGTCTCCCCATCCAGACAGTCTTGTCTACCCTCTTATCTCTGAGTAGACTGAATATAAACCACAATTTATTAAAGAATATGATTTGAAGAAGATGCTAGAAGATTTTAGAACAACATTTCTCCCATTTGATTGATACATGGAACATCAGTCTGGCCAGCTACACCCAAGACAGCCAGTGGTAGGGTTGAAAATATCCAATTGATAAAGCTTGAGGCTGAAAATTAGGACCTTCTGGTTCTAAATCAAATGTTGTGTGACCCTGGAAGGGGGTCACATCTCTTCCCCATGCCTCAATTTAATCACATCTTGGGAAGATTATAATACAATTTAAATAATTGTCTCATACCACCTCCCCCACCCATGGTCCAGAAATAAATCCTAGAATGAGGAGCAAGACAGGATAAAATGAAACAGACCCCTCCACTCACCCCATCCTTCATCCTCAGCCTCCCCCATGCTTCCCAAATGCAGGGAGGGGAAGAGAGAGCAAGGAAGAGAGAGAAAAGACAGGTGGAAGAACACACTGTAGGCAGCATAACACAATATCGCCAAGTTTCCACATTGTCACTGAACACGGTCTAAGATCTGAGTCCTGTGATGTTATGGGAGTACCTATGGTCAGCATAACCCCCAGAAGAACACTGATCCAGTCCACTGAGCTGTACCCTGGATGAAGCACACTTAACATTTCTGGGCCTCAGTATGTCCATCTATAAGATGGGAATTTCTACCTTCAATCTTCACATAGCTGATGGAATTAAAATGGATCTGTGTAAAACCATTGGAAGAATTAAGAGCATCATTAAAATGGAAAGATTTTTTCATATTTTTAGTCCCAATAAGCTAGAATAAATATGGATCTTATTAGTTAAGCACATAATTATAACGATGTATCTTGGGAATAAAAAAAGAACAACTCAAGTTCATGGTTTGTATTTAAATATAACATCCCATGTGGCAATGACAATATACATGAGCTTTCAGTCTTTAAAGGTGCTCCACTAAGCGCATCCCTTTAATCACTGGGTATTCATTCATTCATTCATTCCATAAATATTATTTATTAACAGTACATTTATGAGATTTCTTTTTTTAAAGGAATTGTATACAGTACATGATTATCTCTTCATATACTTTTTAAAGAAATCATGCTAATAATCATGCTAATAGGCTCCATACCCTCAGACCTGTCTATGTCTTCGTGGAACTCGAGTTTTCTGGTATCTATGTGGCCTTTGATGTCTTCTTCTTCATCCTGTCCAGCTGGTGTCAAACCCATCACTCCTGGGGACTCAGGGAGCCTCTGCCAATGCCTTGCAGTTCATCCTCATTTCCATGAGGACAGACGGTCACAGCCCAGCACAGTTCTGAGCACGGAGATTTATTTAATAAATACTTATCACATGAATGGATGGATGGATGGATAGATGGATGGATGGATGGATGGTTGGATGGGCATCTGTTTGTCTCATGCCAAATTCTCATCTTTGGAAAATCCTAATAAGTTCAACACGGTTGTCCTCTCCCCCAGCCCGACCACCTGGGCCAGTGGTGGTGCTCCTGAAGCCTCACCCCTGCAAAAATCATCTGTGGCTGCTTCACTCTGTTATCCTGGGCCCCCCACCCCTGCCTGTTCTTTGCTTGTCATTAGATGGGTGACTTGGGGAAAAAGATCAGACAAGTGGAGAGGACAAGGCAACAGCATTCTAGAAACAGAGCTGAGTTTTTTTCTGGGAGAAATGCGTAAGTATTTCTCCTGCGGAGGGCAAGTCTGGTTGAGCAGCCCTCCTCAGGCTCTGGAAAGCGAGACTTAGACTTTGGGGAGAAGAGGCCCAAATAGGCAGCCAGCCGATCCCCAGAGGGAGTTCTCGGCCACTGCCCCAGCTCCAGCCCCGAAAATAGACGCCAGCGCAGTAGCCCCTCAGATCCCTGGAGGTGTTTTTGGTGCTGGAAGCCAACCATACTTTGGCAGGCTTTCAGCATTAAGTCTGCTCCCTTTCAGAGGTGGAGGGGGGTGGGTGGCAAGCCATCCGCGTTTTGCATGGGAACGTTGCTTGTGAGTGTGTGTGCGCATATATTTAGGGTGCCTGGAGTGGGATGGGGGCTGGGCCTGGGAGGCAGTGTGCCCTGACCGCTGGGGTCAGAGGTCAGGGGCTCACGCTTGCCAGTGTCAACGGGGGACATTTGGGTGGTGCGTGGTCTGTAACCAGGCTTGCATCTAGCTCCCAATGCTGGGGCCACTGCTGCCACCACCAACTCGAGCTATCTCTACTCCAAACGCATACCATCTCTCAGGTGCCCTCACCCCGAGTCTTCCCATTTCAAGGCAGGGACATGTTCCCCTCGTGGGTGGGCCCTTCTGTCTCCCATGTCGTACCTCACCTTCGCCCAGCGGACCCTGGTCAGGCAGCCACACCGCAGAAACGGCAGGCTCCTCTACCCCCCACATTGTTAGGAACAAAGAGATGGGTCTGACGGGTCAAACTGGAGTGCGTGCGCCAAGTCCCCATGAATGGAAGAGAGGCTGCTGGGATGCCAGAGCGGTGAGCCTCAGGCTGGGCCGTGGGGACACGGGCCCAGGACAGAGCCGCGGGGCACCTGCTCTGGGATTCTCAGTACCATTCATAAAGATGTCACCCCCCCTCTTGCCTCCCCTCTCATCTCTTCACAAATCCCGCTTTCCTGTGTACTTTAAACAGTAGCGAGCCTGTTAAGGCTCCAGATCAAACAAGGCAGGATTTCACTCCTTTCTTGCTAAACCTCCCACAAGCGGAGCTTATGTCCTGTATACCTCGCCCTCTTTCCCAAAGCCCCCTCCTCCCTCCATCCATCTGGTATGCTGCTCTGGAAGGAGAATATTCTCAGTGAGACCCAACCAATTGCAGCCTAAAGCTACTTAAACAATTCCCTGGAACAACCCACAAGAATCCTGCACATGCAAGGGAAG